TCCTGGAAGTTTGCCCAAGGAAGGAGGACTGGCATGTGAGTAAATGCAAGTTTCGGTACGTGTGGGTGTGTGTGTAGGCACATAGACCTATGCTGGGTTACACGTGCGGCCCTGCACCTGTGGATGCCGACACTGCCCGTGCCCCTGGGTCCCCTGGGTCCCCTCGGCACTCACCATCCCTGCCTTTGCCAATGGAGTTAACGCCCCTGGGAGCAGCCCTCAGCCTGAGACTGGCGGGGGCTGGGGTATGTGTCCCCTCAGGCAGGCTGACCCTGAGGTGTGCCCTCCACAGTCTGCTGGAGGTCCCCAGGGGGTAAAGGAGCTCCCCCGCCCAGGGTTGCTGCCTTCCCTTCCCCATCCCACTCCCCATGCCCCACAAGGGCGTCCAGGCATCGCCTCCCAAATAAAAGCCTTGCACGCAAATCCTTGTCAGGACCTGCCTGTGCAGCTTCTCAGCCGCACTGTGGGTGAATCCAAGTGACCACGTGCTTGTGTGAGTGTCATGCTGATTGGTGTAGCTGTGTATACGTTGTGCGTTTATATGTTTGAACATGGAGAGGTGAATGGACACGCGTTTAAATGCATGCAGCTTTGTGTGTTTCTCCCGATGTGTGTAGGTGTGAAAATATGTGAGTGTGTATGTGGTTGATTTTGGATGCTTTTGTGTGAGGGGGCCGCCTTGAGAGAGAGAGAGAGAGAGTGTGTGTGTGTATGTGTGTGTACACACACATGAGCGAGGTAGAACCCAGGAGGATCTTGGCTGGGTGGGGCCAGTTGTGGAGAGGTGAGGGAGGGAGACAAGGAGGAACTCTGATTATTTCAACCTTGAAAACTCATTTCAATTACAATTTACAACCTGCAGACAAAGGCTGCAGTCGCCGTAGTAACCACAGCTGCGGGGGTTTTGAGGAGGAAATCCCCTCCCGGATGGCTGTCACCCGTGGCAGAGCCAAGCGCCTCTCTGGCTCACTGTGCCCCGGGACACAATTAGGACATCTTCACACTGTTGCTGCTGTCATTGCTGCCATGTAGCTGGAATTTATCTCTTCCAGTAGCTCTCAGAAATGGGTGTCTTGCTTCCTCCCAGAACTGTGGTGCCCTTGCCCGGGCCTGGGGGGCTGACCAGCCCACGAGAGGGTGTTTTCTGACCCCCCTTCTGTCCACGGCCACCTCCCTCCTCTGCCTCCTCTGGCCCCGCAGACAGGGGTCCTTCACTCCTGGCTAGGGGCAGGGCCTGGGCGAAAGAGAGGAGGGAAGGCGGCAAGTCAGGGGCTGGACGGAGGGAGAAGCAGCGGAGGGACAGCTCAGGGTAGTGAAAACTCTTTTGGAGCTGGAGAGACCCAGGTTCAACTCCCAGCTCTGCCTCTTCCCAGCCAGGCCAGTCCCCAGGTGTGTATGAACACCTGATGGGATCCAGGATGCTCTCGAGATGCTGGGGACGTCACTCGACCACCTGCAAACCTCATTACCTCCTCTGTGAGGGGTGCCAGTCCAGCCTACCTCCCAGAGCCTCAGGGAAGAGAAACTGCCCGGCAGGCGAAGGCCCCGCTGCGGGGTTGTCTGCCGAGGAGAAGGGCGTGTGCAGGGAGCCACACTGGTTAGGGGCACAGCTTCAGACACTCAGGACAGAGCGTCTGTCCTTGTTTAACTTGTATTTGTGGTCCCCCCCGCCCCCCAATGTGAGCACACTCAGGTTCTGTCATTGTGGCTTCCTTCGGAGCTCGAGGAAAAGCCCTGCAGGTTTGAGGGGTGTGTGTGTGCGCGTGTGCACATGTGTGTGTGGAGAAGGCACACTCAAGGGCTGGCACTCCCTTGTAAATAAAGGTTCTTTGCAGGTCACCTCACTGTACCTGTTTTCTCCTCTCAATTGAGGCTGGACTTGAGACAAAAGTCAAGGACAGGAAAGTGTGTTGAGAAGTCTCTAGAAGTCCCTGGCTGGCACCGTGACAACTGTGGGGTGGAGATTCTGGAGAGTCAGCACTTAAGGGCCGCTGACAGCCCACGGCACCCCAGAGCCCTCCCCATGGCTGCTCCCCAGGCAGAGGCAGGCTTCCCTGGTGAGGGCTCTCCTGTGGGGTCATCCACACTCCAGCGTCGGTGCAGGCGGTCCTGTGACCCCAGTAAGAGCACTTGGTCCGGGACCGAGTGGTCTGGGAATGGAGGCTTCAGCTGCACCGCTGAGGAGGGACCCCGGGGGAGGCAGGGAGGGGAGAGGCTGAGGGCCGGCTCAGTCGGGAGGCACAGCCGGGTTCTGTGGGCCTGTGTGTCCTTGGTCCTGGGGGAAGCTGCCTCGTCTCTGCCGCGGCCGCGGCCTCCCACTCCGTCCTGGTTAATAATTCAGCTTCTCTCATTGATATGAAGTGACCGTGTGATGGGCGCTGCAGGGGAGCGGAGTGGCATTTTAGGTTCTTCAGGCTGCAGAGGGCAGGACTAGGGCCTGGGGGAGGCAGGGTGGAGTCCAGGGCTGGGGCTTTCCAGACGACCCTGCCCCAGCCATCTCTGTTGCCCTTTGGGGATAGCATTGTCCCTTGCGCTTCTCTCCTGGTTCTCAGAACCTTGTCATCAGAAGCCTCGGACAAGAGGGCAGGCTGGCGAAACAGGAGAATTTGCTTTTTCTGTTCCTTCCCGAGATGCTGTGCCTGGGCCTGTTAGCAAGGCTCTGCCGGCCCAGGGGCTCGGCGGCAGACCGGGCCCCAACTCTTCGGACCCTCTGTGTTTAACAAACTTCCGCAGCGCTTGGCCGGCACCGGGCCTCGAGGACCTGCTGTGAATATGAACCCATCAATCCTCACAGGGACCCTAGCCTGACCCTGTGAGGTCAAGTGCCATCATTGTCCTCATTTTGCAGAGGAGGAAGCTGAAGCTGGAGAGGCGAAGTGAGAGGTCCAAGGTCACGGCTAGAGCAGTTGGTGGAGCTCTTGTAAAACCAGTGCAGTGAGAGCGGGCAGAGGGCCTTAGCTGACCGCCGAGACAGCCAGTGAGGCAGCCTCGAAGCCCACCCGGCCTCCAGCCCCGAGGCCACACCGTGGAAGTGGTGGGCTCTGTCTCGACCCGACAGTGCCACCAGAGCCAAATGGACATCTGCTCCCAAACTGCTCAAGCTGGGTACTGGTGACCTTTGATCTCTGACCCTGAGGTTGAGGTAACTGGAGCCAGCTTCTGACTTTGGTCACAGAGTCTTGGTGGCCAAGGCAGGGATATGAGACGTGCCACCGGCTCTGTGGGATCCCTGGGCAGGTGGGGCCCACTGATCATCCAGTGGCTAAACATTCAGGAGCCTAGGGTGAGCTGCGGACCCCTGGGGTCTTGGCCTGGACTCTACACAATAGACATGGGAGGCTCAGGCCTGTGGCCCCAGGGCTGGCACAGGTGAGCCACTCACCCTACTGTCCACTGGGGAGTGACCTCTGCAAGTTGTGGCACTGGCCCACGGCAGGGAGCCATGTGAGGGGCGGGGGTTGTTATGAGGGCTAATTTCCTTGTCCTGGCCTTGAGGGAGGAGGCTGCAGGTCAAGCTGTGTGCAGGGGCTGCAGCCTCGGGAGGGGAAGCTGGGTTCTGCCCATCCTCTCCCTTCCTCTCCCTTGCCATCCTCCTGCCCCTGTCCCCTCCTCTCCTCCGCTCCCCACTTTCTTGCCCCCTCCCCCACTCTGGCTCATCCCATCCCTCTGGTGTAGTGTGGTGCACAGGCTTGGAGCCGGAGTACCTGGGTTCAGATCCCTTTCTGCATGGTCCTGGAACTCCAGTGAGCTTTTCTGTGCCTCAGTTTCTTCATCTCTATAATGGGGATAATTCCTCACCTCAGAGCATAGTTGTGAGAATTCAGTGAGTTAATAACATATAAAGAGCTTGGAACCACGGCTGGCACGGAGTAGGCACTCAGTAGAAGTTAGCAGCCCTTATTCTTCGTGATCACTGTCACCCAGGGCCCAGGCCAGGAAGCTCCTCCTCCTCCAGAAAGCCTTCCTGGCTTGCTCCAGCCCAGGGACCTCTGTCACCCCCCTCAGAAATCCCCCATTCTGACCACTTGGCACAATAATAACGTGGCTTAGTCCCCTTGTCTGTGCCAAGTGTTTCCTGTTCCTCATTTTGTTTGAGCCTCACAGCCCCTCTGTGAGGCAGGATCATGATCCCCTTTATACTGAGGGGCCATGGGGGCCTCAGGCAGCCAAGGGGTTTGCACAGGCCCCAGGGCAGAGGGGTTGGGTGTGCCTGGAACCCAGGGGGTGAGGATGGGAGGCCAGAGCCCCGAGGCCACCGCGCCCTGGGGAGCTACTGCAGTTTGTGGTGAGAAGTGGGTGGAGTTGGGTTCCCCATTTTGCAAAGCTCAGTCACCCTGGCTAATGGGGGGGGGGGTCAGTGACATGGGAGAGGAGTAGGTGGGGACGATGGTGACTTCTGGTGTCTGGGGCGACTGAGAGGCCACTGAAGGCATCAGGAGGCCTGGGTCCTGAACCCTGAGGGACTGTGGCCGGTCTCTCACCCTCTTTGGGCCTCAGTTTCCCCACCTGCACTCTGGGGTGGGGGCAGCATCTTCTGGCTGGAGTGGCTGCCTCTGGGTGAGCAGCTGTCGGGGCACCATGGTCCTCAGTGACACACACAGCTCCCGTCTGGCGATTCCCAGCCTGGGCGAGCGGCAGCTGCTCCATGATCAGGCCAGGCTGGGCTGGGTGGACAGGCAGACGCCGCAGCCACAGGGAGGCCCCGCGTCACTGCCTTCTGACAGGGCCTGGCTGTTCTGGGGCCTCAGGGGCACAGGGACCAGCAGTCTAGTGACCAGGGCAGTGGACCCCCTGCCCTACCTTCCGGACCGTCCCCCAGGCACCTCCACAAGACCATCTCCCGGGGCGATGGAGCAGCACTGGGCTGGGAGCCAGGAGACCTAAGGGGCACAGACGGGCTGTGCCACTTCTCTGGGCCTCGGGGACTGCTCTGGTTCCCACCACACGGTCTGTGAGGATGGTGGGCCTCACGGGTGCCCACTCTGGGTGTTCTGTGGCAGACCGCGAGCGCATCGGGCAGGACTCGGCGTACGAGCAGGAGGGGAAGGTGCAGTTTGTGATCGATGCCGTGTATGCCATGGGCCATGCGCTGCACGCCATGCACCGTGACCTGTGTCCGGGCCGCGTGGGGCTCTGCCCGCGCATGGACCCCGTGGATGGCACCCAGCTGCTCAAGTACATCCGCAGTGTCAACTTCTCAGGTGGGGGCACGGTGCGGGCTCCACCCAATCCCGGTGTCATGGGCCATGCAGCTAGAGGAGGGGCCCTGGAGGTCTGCGGGGTGGGAGTGGAGCGTCCCTTCAGATGTCCCCAAGGGGTGAAACCTCCCAAGGTGTTCCATGCCGGGGGCTCCCCAGAGGTGTCTGCCTCGGGCTTATAATCCTCCCCACCTTTGGGTAAAGGCTCAGCAAAGGAACTGAGTGTGTGACACCGCTGGCCCCACAGGCATTGCAGGGAACCCTGTGACCTTCAATGAGAACGGAGATGCACCCGGGCGCTACGACATCTACCAGTACCAGTTGCGCAATGGCTCTGCCGAGTACAAGGTCATCGGCTCCTGGACCGACCACCTGCACCTCAGAGTAAGCGCCTGGCAGGAGATCGGGGCCCAGGAAGGGTGGGGAGAGTCACTCACCCCATCCCAGCCCCTGGGAGGGTGCCCGAGGGGAGGTAGCCGCTGACCAGCCCTGACCCCGGGTTTGATGCTGCCGAGTCGGGGCTTCCTTGCTTGCCCCACCGCAGCCCTCAGAGGGCCCTGAGCCCCTCTCCCCACTGCAATGGAAGAGCAGGGCAGCTGGACTGCTGCTGCCTGTTGGCCCCTGGCCTTTCCCTTGGCCTGGGGCCTGCCTGCCTGCTACCCACCTGCAGGGCAAAAACCTCTGGATGGGACCCACCCTGCAGAGAAATGGCTCAAAGCCTTGGTGGGCGTGGGCAGTAAGGTGAGGAGGGGAGGGCTGCGTTGGACAAAGGAGGACGACGTCTTGAGGCAAAGGGCACAGTTGAATGGTGGGTTCCGCCTGGTGGGTAGGGAGCCGTTTGAGAGTGAGTCCCCAGCGCGTCAAACCACACTGGAAGGCTGTCATTTTTCTGCATGTTATGGCGGGGGACTTCTCCTGGGTCCTCCTAGCCACACCTTCCCAGCTCACGGTGGTCCCAGGATGTGGTGGCTTTCTCTCTCTGGCCCTCAGTGTCCCCAGCTGTGAATAGAGCCGTGTTTTTGGAGGGAAGGACCTGTGGTTCATTCCTGAAGGAAATGTCCATGGACTTGGGCCCTGCCTTGCAAGGTGAAGGGGTGAGCTGTGCTCGGGGTGGGCACAATGTGGCATCTGGATGGACCAGAGAGACTCCGGAGGCCCAGGTCTGTGTCTGGCCTCGGCTGTCCTTGTCCCAGATCCTGGGAGAATTGCATCTCGTCCCCCCGCCCCGGTTGTAATCGTCTCTCCCGGCAGTGAGCCCCTCGAGCTCTTAGAAGCACTTCCCGCTCAGGATCTCCTTTAGCCCTGACCATCTTCTAAGTCAGAGGAAGCATCTCGGAAGACCCAGGCTGAGAGATGTCCCGAAGGCCGCGCTGCACGCGTGGCCAGAGCCCATTCCTGTGGGATGCGCCTCGGGTTGCTGAGTGGAGACAGACAGACGGAACAGGGCGAGGGGAGCACTTGGCAGAGTGGGGCAGTACCGCAAATGGAGCACGCCTCGTTCTGGTGCGGTGGGTGGAGCAGGGGGCCAGTGACTCAGTTCACTCGTGGCAGCAGTGATCCTCGCTGAGCGCCTGTGTGTGCAGCTGCCGTTCTGAGCACTGACCTCTCTGTGAGAGTGACGGCCCTGTGGGTGGGCCCTGTCCTTACCCCATCCCGCAGATGCGGTCAGTGAAGTCCTGGCTTGAGGGCTGGGGTGGCAGTGGACTCCTCCCCTGAAGGGCCCCTCCCCAGTAGTACAGGCCCTCCACCAGCACGGAGTGGGGGCAGGAGGAGGTGAGGAGGGACTGGACCCCGACCGTCACTCCTTCCCTACTTTCTCCTGCCTGCTCGGTTTCGGGTGCGCAGTGGGGCCACAGAGCAGGCAAGGCTCAGGGGCCGAGGAGAAGGTGGCCCCCTGCCCGCCACTGCCTTCCTCCAGGGTCTGGAAGCGGCGGCCTCTCCTGATGGGTGCTCCGTCCGACCTCACCGCTTCTTGCACAGATTCCACAGAGATTCACTAGGCCCCACTGCGGCCAGTCCTGTGCTGGGCCTGCAGACGCAGCAGGGAGACAAACACAAAGCCCCTGGGAGACAGCGTTTCCATTATGACTTCTAGCAGAAGCCACGATAAGTAACAAAGGGCAAAGCAGCTTCATATCTGCTCTCATTGGATCAGGTGGGGAAACAAAGGCTCAGAGAGGTCGAGGTGTTTGCTCAAGGGCACACAGCCAGCTGGCAACAGAACTGTGATCCCAAGATTTGACCATATTCAGTGTTCTTTCTGCTGGAGCCACAGAGTTTTCCAGAACACCCACCATCGCTCTGTGTCCCCCTGCAGTCTCACAACTCTGGTGCACAGGGACTGTCCTGCTTCGTTGCTCCTGCCGGATGGTGGCACTGGTCACTGCTGTGCTCTCTGGCTTCTAGGGGACCTCACAACCCTGTCATGCCCAGAGCCCCAGGACAAGCCTCTTCCTTGAGGTTTTCTTCCACCTACCGTGGGGACCCCCATCCCTTTCCTCAGCTCTGAAACCCCCCCTCAGCCCCGGAACCACCTGGTCATTCTTTCTCCAGGAGTGAGCATCCAGGGCAAAGGCAGAACCATTCTGGCCAGGCCTCTGCACTCCAAGTGTGAACTCTCCCTGAGAGCCGCTTAATTTAGAACAGATGCCGGCATATGGCCCCGAGTGCAGTGGGCTCCCTTTCTGCAGCCCCTGGAGCTCTTTTGGGCCTCTTGCTCACTTTCTAGAATTTTGTAACATGCTCAGCAGGGCGTGCCAACACTCCTGTGGCTCCTTCACTCACAGCAGTTACGTCTTGGGAGACATGTAACTGTGACCAGCACTAATTTAGAGCAAGATGTAAAGAAACGCTAACTCCTGGGCACACGTGAAGTGTCCTCTGATGAAACCTCTGTTCGTTGCTCTCTGCTGAACGTGACTCCTGAGGAAAGGAGGCCCCGTGGGCTGAGCCACAGGGCAGCGCATCTCACGCTCCAGTGTGCGCACGAGTATCCTGGGGGGCTTGTGAAAACTCAGATTCTGAGACGATAGGTCTGGGGTGGGGCCAAAACTTTGCATTTGCAGCAAGCTCCTGGGTGACGCTGATGCTCCTTTTTTGGGGACCACTGTGAGTAGCGAGCCCTTACAGGGCGGGAGTCAGGACTCCTGAGCTCTCTCTGCTCTGCTGTGTGACTCTGGGTTGTCACGGCTGCTCTCTGGGCTCAGTTTCTCCATACAACCCTTGAGAGTTTTGGATTTGATCAGGATGCCCCATATGTCAGCCATGCCTAAGTCACGTGGGGGAACTTATTTAAATCCAGCTGTTGGATTCAGCAGGTGCAGGTGGGGCCTGGGCAGCTGGATTTTAGCCATCTAACTGGTGATTCAGGCATGGGGCTACAGGGTGCCAGCCGGTAGGGTGGTCCCGGGTGCTGGGCGGCATGTCCTGAGGCCCACTCCTCTGTGCTGTCGTTGCCAGATAGAGCGGATGCACTGGCCAGGGAGTGGGCAGCAGCTGCCCCGCTCCATCTGCAGCCTGCCCTGCCAGCCAGGCGAGCGGAAGAAGACAGTAAAGGGCATGCCCTGCTGCTGGCACTGCGAGCCCTGCACAGGGTACCAGTACCAGGTGGACCGCTACACCTGTAAGACGTGTCCCTACGACATGCGGCCCACAGAGAACCGCACGGGCTGCCGGCCCATCCCCATCATTAAACTGGAGTGGGACTCACCCTGGGCCGTGCTGCCCCTCTTCCTGGCCGTGGTGGGCATCGCCGCCACGCTCTTCGTGGTGGTCACCTTCGTGCGCTACAACGATACGCCTATCGTCAAGGCCTCGGGCCGCGAGCTGAGCTATGTGCTGCTGGCGGGCATCTTCCTGTGCTACGCCACCACCTTCCTCATGATCGCCGAGCCTGACCTGGGCACCTGCTCTCTGCGCCGGATCTTCCTGGGGCTCGGCATGAGCATCAGCTACGCGGCGCTGCTCACCAAGACCAACCGCATCTACCGCATCTTCGAGCAGGGCAAGCGGTCGGTCAGCGCCCCGCGCTTCATCAGCCCCGCCTCGCAGCTGGCCATCACCTTCAGCCTCATCTCCCTGCAGCTGCTGGGCATCTGTGTGTGGTTTGTGGTGGACCCCTCCCACTCGGTGGTGGACTTCCAGGACCAGCGGACGCTCGACCCCCGCTTCGCCAGGGGTGTGCTCAAGTGCGACATCTCGGACCTGTCGCTCATCTGCCTGCTGGGCTACAGCATGCTGCTCATGGTCACGTGCACCGTGTACGCCATCAAGACGCGCGGCGTGCCCGAGACCTTCAACGAGGCCAAGCCCATTGGCTTCACCATGTACACCACGTGCATCGTCTGGCTCGCCTTCATCCCCATCTTCTTTGGCACCTCGCAGTCGGCAGACAAGGTGAGGGGCGGGGGCTGGGGGTGGGGGCCAGGGGCAGCCTCTTGGGGCTGACGGGCCTCTCACTCTGCTCCAGAAATGCCTTCTTTCAGGCCTCATTCTGCCTTCTCTCTCTGTCTCGAGTTTTTCTCCAGGTTCTGAGTTTGCTCTCTCCCGCCCTTTCTCTTTTCCTGCTTTCTCTCCCTTTTCTCCTTCCCCCGACGTTTGTCTCATCTCCCTCCTTCCTTTCTCCTCTCCATCAGCCTGGATGCTGCTCACTCTTCCATGCTTCCTTCTTTTCTAGACTCTTCTTTCCCTTGCCTCTCTCCCTACTTAGCCCATCTTCCCGTCTGTCCACTCCTCTCTCCTTCCTCCTCTGTCCGCCCCTCTCTCTGTCCTCACAGGACCCCCATGAGGTGGGAGATGTATCAGGCACTTGCTCCCTCCCTGGTCCCAAGCTGCCCCGAAGCCCAGGAGCCTGGGACCAGGCACTGTCAGCTGAGGGCCCTTCCTCAGCTCAGAGGGGCCGCCTCCTGCTGGCTCTGTCAGGCCATCCTGTGGTCTGAGGGTCTGGACACACCCCAATGGCCCAGTGGATTCTGCCCACATCCCAGCCCCAGTGCTGCCTGGGTGCCTGGGGGGTTTTATCTTGAAGGATTAGGAGTCACTGAAGACAGAGGCCAGAGACAGGAAGGATTGCAGGGACCGAGGGCCCCAGCTCCTGGTCTGAGCTTCATGTCTGATTGTGGGATCCTTGGCAAGCCAGCTGGCTGGCGGCCTCAGTTTCTTCATTGGTGGTCTGGGGCCACGGTCCTTCCCCTGAAGTCCTTACGGGGGTTGCGACAATCACAGTCACAATCCTGTGTAAGGAGGCTGGAGCTGAGGAGTCTGGAGGAGGGTGGCGGGGACAAGGTGGTAAGGTGAATGGTGTAGGACCCAGCAGCTGTGAGGAGGATGTTGGCTTTTAGTGTGGGCGAGAAGGGAGCCACTGCGGGGTTCTGAGCAGTGAGGGACACCTTGAGACGTAGGTTTAAAAGGGTCCCTGTGGCTGCTGGGTGGAGCCCCGAGGAGGGTGAGCCGGGAGCCGGATGGCCAGTGCGGAGGTTCCCGTGATGACTCCGGCAGGAGGCTGCTAATAGCAGGGGTGGTGAGCAGGGGATCCTGGCTTTGTCTGGATCTGGGCTGGCGGCTTTCTGCTGGCCTGCATGTGGGGTGAAAAACGCAGAGGACAGTGAAGGATGGCTCTGTGGTTTTGGTATGAGGATCAGAAGGAGTGTCTGCACTCGGTGGGGAAGACGGTAGGGGAGCCGGTGAGCCTGGAGTTAAGGGGCGAGGGCTGGACTGGAGGCATTACTGGGGGAGTCATCAGCCTACGAATGGCATTTAAAGCCGTGAGCCTAGGGGCGAGCTTCTAGGAATGCTTAGCTTCAGTGAGGCTGCAAAGCAAGGCCACCAGGGATGGGGTACTTGTCACATGCCAGACCTTGACCTGATGGCCAGCAGGCCCTACAGCAGTGGGCAAGGGTAGATATCACCATCCCTATTCACAGATGAGGATATGGAGGCACAGAGAGGTAAAGTGACTTGTCTGAGGTCACACATCCAGTAGGTGGCATGGCTGGACTTGACCCTGCTCTGTCTAACTCAGGAGCCCCCACCCCAGCCCACACTGCCCCCTGCGGTTCTGGGACACCTCTCCTGCCCTGGGCTTCCTGGTGCCCACCTTTTCTCCAACAGCTCCTCAAGGGCAGGAGCTGCGCCCTCCACTCTGAATTCCTTGGGCCTGGTGCAGGGGCCTGTGGCCTGTCTCCAGTGGCGGCCCTGTGGGCAGGGGGTTCCAAGAAGCAGACCATGGGGCTGACAGTGCCCTGAGGTCCGAGATCAGGCCTGGCTGCAGGCCACCTCGCACACCTGAGCCAGAGCAGCCACAGGGCGCAGCTCGCACCCGCCCCCACCAGGCCTGCGGGAGGCCCCCCCTGCTGAGGGCAAGTGCAGGCGGAGGGCCCCATGCCCCCAGCACCCAGGGGGCCCATGGAGCCAGCAGGGGAGGCCGCCCCACACTCCAGGAGGCTGGCAGCTTGAGAAATTACCCTCAACAACACCAGGAGGCCCCTTCCCACGCCTCCTCAGGGAGTAAAGGTACTCAGCTGGGAGGCCAACAGCGTGGTGGGTGAGCCCCTTGCTCTGCTCTCCTGTAATTTCCTCTGGCTGCCTGCCAGCACACCGCTCCCCACTGGGTCCCTGCCATCCCAGGGTGTGAGACCCTCCCACCTCCAAGCACGGGGCCCGGCATCCCCAGTTACACCATCTCTCCAGGCAACACCACCTGCCTCTGATTTCGCCCTTGTTAGGAGGCTCCCCTCAGCACTGTTTATGGAAGGGAGCCTCTGAGATTTCTTCTGAGGCCCAGAGATAGGCAAGGAGTTGCCCAGGGTTACACAGCAGGCTGGCCTCACAGCAACGTGTGGCCATAAGACCCAGCTCTGCCCCTGATGGTGTGGGACATGGGTTATGCCACTCTCCTCTCTGGGCTTCTGAATGAGGGGGGCTGGTGGAGATGAGCTCTGAGGTCGCTGCCAGCTCAGACCACCAGGCTTCTTATAGACGTGGGCAATCCTGGGGCTGTCTCTGGGCTGTGTCATGTCAGCTACAGAATGCTCCATCAGAAGCTGCAGGCCTGGCTGCTGGGGGTGTGTGTGTGTGTGTAAGAGAATGGAGTGGGTAGGGCTGTTGTGGGGAGTTGTGACATGGGTCTAGAAGTGTGTGTGTACAGTGTGTGTGTGTGCCTTCCTGTGCATGTTCAGCAGTGGATGGGTGGGGTGTGTGCACATGTGTGAAAATCGAGTGGGGGTGGGCAGGCGTGTGTGCCAAGGGGTCTGTGGCTGCTGGTGTGTGTATGGGTGTGCAGGCTAGGTGTGTGTGCCCTAATGTGTGTGTGCAGGTGCATGTGTGTGTTCAGGTATGTGTGCAAATGAGTGTGAATGGATCTATGTGTATGCACATGCATGTCCCAAGGTGGAGGAAGGGGTGTGTGTGTGAGCCTGTGTGCGTCTGAGTCAGGTATGAGTGTGTAGCTGTGAGTTCAGGTGTGAATGCGGAGATACACGTGTATATAGGTGTGTGTTTGTGGGCATGCGTGTGTGCACACACACTTTCAGGTGCTCAGCTGTGCCGTGCCCCCCGGTGCAGGTGCTGGTACAGAGTGAAGCTGTCTGTGCTACTCTGTGAGCAGGTGGATGGATTCCCAGCGTCAGCCCGGATTTCCAGGGCTTACCACTGCAGCCCTGTGGCATCACCCTGAGCCCTCCGGAGTGCGGGTTTACTGTGCAGCCAGGCTTGGGTGGGACGAGGCTGCAGAGGCTGGCAGGTTGTGGTGAAGTTTGTTTGTCCGGTTCATACAGATTTGGAGGATCTTGGTACCCACCAGGCTCGGCCTGGGCGGAAGCACAGAGCAGGCAGAACTACTTGGTGTCCCCTCCAGGGCCCCTCACACCTAGCACCCACCAGGCCTAGCACAAAAACAGGAAACTCATCACCCACCTCCCCAGAGGCTCCTTTCTGTGCCCTTTGCCCCAGCCCATGGTGACCTCTGTCCTCCCCCATCAAACCAGCCCTGACACCTCCTTCACTCTGGAGAGCAGTGAATCGCAAGGCTAACGCAGGATTCCTCACAAAGGATGGAGAGTAGCAAGGGCCTGAGAGGAGAGGAGCCCGAATGGTGGCGGGTCTGGCACCTCCTGGCTGGGATGTGGGTGGAAGGGAGATGAGGTGATGTCCCATCCTGAAGGCTGCCTCCCCCTCTGCCTGCTTTCAAGACCTGCATCCAGGCCTGGGCCCCATCCCTGTGGGGCTGCCTGCTGGTCCTAGAGGTTCTAGGGGACCACTACGTCTCTCATAGGATCAGCATGCTACCACCTCCTGGTGACAACGTGCATCTTCACACAGGGGGATGCTGGAGAACAGTGGTGGGGTGGGAACTCCAGACCCTGGGGCAAAGAGAGGGACTGGGGGTGTGCAGCCCCACTTCCGCTTGCACAGGGCTGGCCACCCCCAGCTTAGGGCTGGCTAGAGGAGCCCCCAGGGTGCCTGCTGGGAGGGAGGAGCCCTAGCACACAGCAGGCAGCTTTGCCAGGTGTGACCTGCTTATACCCCTCCTTGTATTCTGTTTGCAGAAGGGCTGCTAGGCTGAACAGGCAAACGAGAACAGAATGCCAAGGACTGTGCTCGTTCCTGTGCTCAGGCTCCATAGCTTTCAGGGCCCAGTGAAAAATGCAAACGAAGGCCCCTTGTTCAAAACGATTCAGGATTCAAGACATTGGCAGCAGGATGTTAAACCAAGCGTACCTGCCCACGAGGCTGGCTCTGCCTGTGTCAGTGGAAGAGGCCCAGCATCCACAGGGGGTCAGGGCCCAGTGGAATCTGGAACCCAGGCCCCTGACCCCCAACACACAGCTGTGTCCCCTGCAGGGCTCACTCTGCTTGGAGTGAGGGCCTCTACTCCTGTCCCACCAACTCCATGTGGGCCCAACTGTACCCCTCCAGCCGCCTCAACAAGGTGGGGGCCAGGGCCTAAGATGGATATCTGACCTGGAAACACAATTCCTATCCCCAAGAACTCCCAGTGTAAAAGGAGAGACAGCCCCTGCCTTCAGGGAACCCCCAGTCTAATAAGGGAGACAACTGTGTCCCCAGGAACTCCCAGTCCAGAGGTGAGAACCCAGGAATAAATCTGTTCTTTTTTTTTTACTGAGGAAGATTGGCCCTGAGCGACCATCTGTTGCCAGTCTTCCTCTATTTTGTATGTGGGTTGCCACCACAGCATGGCTACTGACGAGTGCCGTAGGTCAGCACCTGGGAACTGAAGCCAGGTCGCTGACGTGAAGTGTGCTGAACTTAACTGCTAGGCGACAGGGCCAGCTGCGCAAGCCTGTTCTTAATTAGCCCAGAGCTCCCCTGTGTTCTCCAAGGGTCTTATGTGACACTCTGCATCCTGTGTCCCCCTCCTTCCCCCCTGGCCATCAGCCTTTCTCAGGGGGTGGAGGGTGGCCAGCACCCTCCTGCTGGCTCGTCATGACCCTTCCTGGCCCACATGCTGGGAGGCAGCTCTGTGCCTGTGGGTGAGAGTGTGGTTGTGTGAGGACAGGGGATGACTGTGTGTCTGGAGGGGTGTGTGCTCCCTGGGGAACAGGCTCTCGCTACCCCGGGGCTGTGATGTTTTCCTGAATGGCGGCCGATGAACAGCCTCTGCACGCTCCCAGCCTCCTTCCACACGGTGCCGTGCAAGTTTCGTGTGGCTTCACGGCCTGTGCTTGGGCAGCCTCGAGGTTTGGGGGAGGCAGGTGCTGTCAGCCCATTGCACTGATGAGAAAACTGAGGGCCAGAGAGGGGACAAGACTTCCCCAGGTTCACACACCTCTCTCTTCGTGGACCCTAGAGCTTCTCTGGCCCCTCCTCCAAAGGTAGGAAACCCCGGGAAAGGTGGTTGGAATGAAGGCCTTCAGCTCCAGGTCCTGAGGCATTTGTGAAGAGAGGCAGGAGATGGGGAGCATATGAGAATAGAGAAACCTGGCCCCTCCTCTCGGGGGGCTACCAGATGAAGCCAGGGACCCTGTGACCTCAGGAAGCAAGTCCAGACCCATGCAGGGCTGAGTGCAAGGAATGGAAGATGTCATGGGGGGCTGGATAGAGCTGGGGCTCAATGAGAGCTTCCTGGAGGAGATGGCACATCAGCCAGGCCCCAGGGGAGGGAGTCCAGCCCCAGAAACAGCAGATTTAGGGGGCAGAGCATCCTGATTTCCCCATATCCAGACCGGGGTTGGGGGGCACAGCCTGGGTCTCCCCTGGCCCCACCCCGGCCAAGGGCAGCCAGAGGGGCCGCTGAGGCCTGGGGGATGGGAAGGGAGGAAGGGAGGCAAGGAGGGGATCCCATGCAGGGGCAGTGGGAATTGTCAGGCCCTGCCTGGAAGGCCCTGCTGTTGAAGAATGGATTAGCCGACACCCAGATTAATGGACTTTCATTTTGCTAACCATCTGTCACCGTTAGTGCTGGCGAGCGAGCGTGAAACGAGCTTTGACTGTGCTGCCACCGTGGATCGCATTGGGCGCTGGGGCTCGCGTGCCAACAGCCCGCTCGGCACAGTGGGGCACGTGGAGGGGCAGTCACTGAGTGGGGGGCCTGGTGGAGGGCTGTGGCACGGCCACTGTGAGTTACTCCAAGGCGCCACAGGTGGTGTTCATCTCACTGCCAGCCCTGTGCAGGGGGCTGCTCCTGAGGGTCAGCTGGGGTCCCCTGAGGGCCCTCCCCCAATTAGTATCTAACACTGGGAAACACTTCTATGCGCTTCCGTGTGCCAGACGTTGTTTTACACACTTCTACCATTTTAAGTCATTTCATCCTCACAACAGCCCTATGAGGTAAGTACTATAATTATCATGCCCATATTACACGTGAGGAAACTGAGGCACAAGGACGTGACTTGTCCACGATCACACAGCTGGAAGTGGTGGAGCCAGGATTTGAATCCGGGATTCTGGTCTAAAGGCCAGCTCTCCATCACGACTCCCTTCTGCCGGAAGCCAGCGGGACACAGGGCGCCGGGTCTGTCCTCCCGTGTCTGTCCCTGGGGTGGGCGGCGGAGGGGGGGCTCAGGGCCCGAGGCCAGGGCGGAGCGCGCTCTGACCCGCCCCCGGCCTGCCCCCAGCTGTACATCCAGACGACGACGCTGACGGTCTCGGTGAGTCTGAGCGCCTCGGTGTCCCTGGGGATGCTCTACATGCCCAAGGTCTACATCATCCTCTTCCACCCGGAGCAGAACGTGCCCAAGCGCAAGCGCAGCCTCAAAGCCGTCGTCACCGCGGCCACCATGTCCAACAAGTTCACGCAGAAGGGCAGCTTCCGGCCCAACGGCGAGGCCAAGTCCGAGCTCTGCGAGAACCTCGATGCGCCGGGTGAGTGCCCGGCCCCGCCCCCTCCCTCTGGCCACGCCCACCGCCCTCTGGACCCGCCCCTTCTCGGAGAAGGCCAGCCCCCTACCCCACGTTCTGGCCCGGCACCGCCCCGGAGCCAAGCCCTGGGGGACACTGGGAGAACCCTGAGGCTGCAGGTGAGTGGCCACCCGCCCAGAGGCAGCTCCGGGAGAACCTTAAGGCACCAGGTTGCACCCCTCTGCTGCCCCCCAACCTCGGGTTCTGGTAGCCAGGAGAGAACCTCCAGGTCCCACCACGCCCTTCCGGGGGTCTCTGCGTCTCCTAGGGTGGGGCCCTGGGGGCACCTGGTCATGCGCGGTGATGTGAGATGCCCGGATTTCTCTGCCCTGGCGCCCCCGTCTGGTCCGGTGCCTTCTGGGAGAAAGGGTTGTCTAGGGGTTGTCCTGACCTAGCTCATGACTTTCTGGAGACTTACCCTTACCGTGTCCCATCCCTCAAGGCCGTGCTCTGCTAGTGCAGGAGCAGGTATGTCAAAAGTTCCTGAACCCAAAGGGTGACACTCATGGTGCTGCGACAGACCACAGAGGGTGGGGCCTTCACAGAGAGCTCTGATGACACCTCGTTGACATGGTTGCCGCTGCTCAGGCTGGTCACCTGGGGACAGGCCACAATAACCCACTCCTGCCAGACAAGGAGGGGTGTGGAGTCGTGGTGAGGGGAGACCCAGTGTTCCCAGCCTCCTGCTTCCTGCAGGGGAAGGATGAGAGCTGCCCACGCCCCCCGCCCCTCTCAGTGTCCCTTGCCCCCACTGTCTCTCAGCTCAGTGACAACAGGGGCTATGGAGGTGCCGGGCAAAAGCAAGCTGATTAATTCTGGGGACAGCCAGATTGAGGGGCCGTGAGTGGGAGGGGTGGGAAGGCATCACTCCTGTGGAGCAGGGACATTTTTCACTCTGTCACTGGCGGGCCACGTATCTTTAAACAAACAACAGAATAAATAATTCAGGGGCCCGACTGCAGACAGATTGGGTGCAGAGACACAGGGCCAACAAATGGGGGTTGTCAGCTCGTGCCTGCCGCTGCCTGGCGAATTGTTATCTGAGGCAGCGGAGACTGAAAACAAGCAGGATGGGCCTGGGGCCCTCTGCCCACACCCGCTTGTCCCTTCCCCTCATACTGAGGATGCCTCTGGAGTGTCACTGTCCTCATCCTGTTCTCATGGCTGTAGTCATTTCAGCCCCCTTTGCCCACCATTTTGCAGGGTTTGAAGAGTATTCCCGCCCACCCCACGGCTGAGAGCTAGCCCAGGGCTTATTATCACCCCATTTTACAGATGAGGGAATCAAGGCTCTGACAGGTTCGATTTGTCGGAAGGACCATGTGGCAGATGCTGAGCTCCCGTGTACCGTGAGGGCAGGCCTGGACCCCAAGTCTCCTGACCCCTGACCAGAACTCTTCCTCTTAAGCCTCCCACTTAGCTCCTGGGGGCCCCGGGCAGACTCCTTGCTCCCATTTTCCAGATGGTGAGGCTGAGGCTCCTCTGAAGGGCTCTGGGCCCCTGGCTTGTAGCTGAGGGCTGAACGCGCTTCCCAGTTCTTCAACCCCGTGGACTGGATTTTCTAGAGGAGGCAGCTCTGGTCTCAGAGGGACCATAGGGCCCCAGCTGTCCCTCACCACCTCGCCACTTTCTCTCACGCCCCGCCCACCTCGGTGCCCCGCAGCCGCCCTCAGGTCCCCATTTTCCTGCAGTCAGCAGACATTTTGCTGCTGCAGCTGAGGTTTTCCTTCACCTCTGAGCCAGACCTGCTGACGGGTTTACAGGTTTGGAAACTCAATTTTATCAGTTCACCCGAGATAATGGAGCCCTGGGGACCTGATTCTCCCCAGCCCGGCCTGCAGGCGTGTGATGCACGAGCCAGCTGCCGCTCTTTTTCTGAAGGTGGGGGACAGAGTGGGATGGGGAGAGCCCCTCAGGAGAAGTCTAGGCAAACAGGGCCACCCCTCTCGTGGTATAAATGGAGAAACTGAGGCCTAGCAGGGCAGGGAGGGAGCTGCCTGAGGTCCCAGAGGGAGTCTAGGGCTCCTGTCTCCAGAGCACTGATCCGTGTGACCTCCCACCTCCCTTTCAGCACCTTCTGCCATCCCCGGGGCCCAGCCTCCAGTCGCTCAGCCCTGCCCCAAGTGTGCCTGGCTCAGGCCTCCGCCAGGATGCGGCCCCGTCAGAACTGACCTTCCCTCTTGGTCAGCCAGCACCCTGGAGGGACATGGGTCACTTTAGCGATGAAGGTGGGACTTCTTTGTACCATGTAAGGTGCTGTGCTGTGTCCTTATTCTCTTCCTGCAAGTTGTGGGCAGCATTTCCTTCCATTAGCACCTGTCCCATTGGCACCTAAAACTTGAGCCTTCACTGACGTTGCGCAGCCAAGCGATTGTTCATCTTCTGCTTGAATCTTTCTGCTGACGGGGAGCTCAGCTCCCAGGTCAGGCCACCACTCCACTCTCAGCTCTGGCCAGGAGAAAGTTCTTCCTTTCGCTCAGCTGCATGCTGACCCTCCTGCCTTCCCACTGGTCCCTGGGTGTGCCCCTCTGCTCACCCCACCCCCAACAAGTTTGCCTCTTCCCATGCTTAGTGGGCCCCCGAGAGTTGGACACAGCAATCCTGCCTGTACGAGTGGGCTTCCGGTTACACTGCTGTGACAAAGGGGCCCCAGAACAGAGTGATTCAAATCAGACAGACGTTTCTCTCTGATATAATAGTGCAACGTGGGTGGGCCGAGGCGGGGACCCGGGTTCCTTCCATCTTGTTGCTGCATCAGCTCCCAGAGGGTTGTCCTTGTTCTCACGGCTGAGGCTGCTTGCCCTCCATGTCTGTTCTGCCCACGGAAGGCTAAAGAGAGGAAGTACAGGAGAAACAATCTATTTTGACATGAAAGTTGCACACAGCCCTTCCTCTCATATGTCATTAGCAGGAATGTGGTCGCCCAGGGCCACACTTAGCTGCAAGGGAACCTGGGAAATGTAGTCCTTAACTTGGCCGTCATGAGCCCAGCAGAAACAGAGAGAGCACTTGGGGGGGACAGCATGAAGCCTACCACACTGCTCCCCTCATGCCCTCTTCTCCAGGCCAGGCGCTCCGGATGAGCCTGGCAGATGCACCTCCTCTCTTGAGCTGACAGGATCCTGGCAGAGGGTCAGGGCAGCTTTATGACAAAGGACACCATGATTTTCTCCCATCTAGCCTCCTCTCTCTGCACCAGCAGACCAGCCCCCACCCCAGGCAGCAGTTCTGTCCTGGATTATTCTCCACTGAGCTGTCCTCCAGGCCCTGGAGGGAGACCTGAACCCTGGCAGGACAGGACCAAACCAAGGACCTGGCTGGGCTCCTCCCTCTGGCCTCAGTCTCTCGTTTTTAAAATGGGAGCAACATGTAGCTGACCTCCTCAGTAGGCTGCTGTGAGGTCTGAACCCTGGCGGGTTCAGGTACGGGGTACACACATGCTGCCCTTGAGGGCTGGCGTTGTCACCCAGCTGTGGGTGGGGGAAGGGCCCCAGGGAGGCTGTGGCCTGAAAGTGGGAGACACCTAGACCTGCAACCCCAGAGCCAGTGGTGGGCGAGGAAGGGCCCGAGAGGTGGGTGCAGATAAGGGAGGCTCAGGCTGAGGCGACGTGGGGACGCCCAGAAATGGGAAGGGTAGCTGCACAGAGGGCCCCGGGGGCCAGAGCACTGCCATTTCCCTTGGGCATGGGGAGAGGAGTTTCTGGTCTTGCAAGGCCCCTCTCTGGGTCCACTGTTTGTTTCCTCTGTCCCCTGCCCCGTCTCTGCCCCCAGGCTACCAGGCTAGTATGTTTCATGTCTGCTTTTCACAGTGCTCCTCCAGAATGTGTTGAACTTCTGAAAAACTTCCCTTTGATAATACATGAAGGTTACATGATTATATCACAAATAAAAACGATTCTCCTCAAGTGTGGTGAAGTCAGGAGGTGGCAGGGACTCCCCCGGGGAGACCTTCATAGGCGGTTGGGGTTGGGAGGGAGTGCTCAAAGGAGGGGTCGTATCTGGAGTGACAAAGTGAAGAGGGAAGGGCCCCCCAGGCCAGCAGCCCAGCCCCCGCAAAGGTGTGGGGCGGGAAGGATGTGCGAGAGGCTGGGTTGAGTCCGGGGTTGCAGGGAGCAGTGGGGGAAGCAATGGGATGGGCGGGTGGGGCCGGCTCATGGTTCGGGGGATGTGGACTGCTCAGTTCAGGGGTCTGGACTTGATGCTCCAGGCAGGGGAGTGTCTGTACAGAAGGGGGGTTTAAAGAAACCAGCCCCTGACACGTGGGTACCCCTGGTCTCTTTCCTTCCAGTGCTGGCCACCAAACAGACCTACGTCAGCTACACCAACCATGCAATCTAGCTAGGCCGCCGGAGCCAACAGGAGGAGGAGGAACCGAGGCTCTTGTGGATGGTGCGTCTGGCCAGGGCCACTCCCAGGGGCCCAGCTGACGTCCTGCCTGCCCGTGGGCACCCACGGACATGGCTTGGTGCTGAGGATAGCAGAGCCCCGGTGGTCACTGCTGGGCAGCCTGGGCAAGCCGGGCAGGCGACAGGAGGAAGACGAGGGGCGGGGCAGCTTCAGGCCATCCCAAGAGCCTGCTTCTTAGACCAGGGCCCCTCCTGGCCCCAAACCACTGGGGCTCAGGGTTCGAGGACCCAAGTGCTGGTTTTCTGTCCCCCTCTGTCTCTGCCTGTCCCACTGGTGACCTCTTAGTCTGTCTCCATCCGTGTCTTTATTTTCTCTTATCTCTTTGTCTCACCTTCTTTTCTCTCTGTGTGTGTCTGTGCGTCTGCACCCTCTGCTTTTCTGCATCATCTTCTTTCTGCCCCTGCCTCCTCTGCCTCATCCTCTCTCCATCTCCACGTCTCTCCCATTTTTCTCTTGTGCTCCACCTGAGTCTCTCCTCTCGTGCATTTTTCTTCCTGTCCTCAGCCCCCTCCTCACCTTCACTTACATCCAGCCTCTGCTCCCTCTCCTGGCCATCCTTTCCTAAGTCATCAAATCTTACGTGTCACAAAAAAGAAAAAAGGAAAAAAAAATCAAAACACAAAAATGCCAAAACAAAAACAAATCTCAAGTGTGTTGCCAAGTGCTGCGTCCTCCTGGTGGCCTCTGTGTGTGTCCCCGTGGCCCGCAGCCTGCCCGCCTGCCCCTGCCCGTCTGCCGTGTGTCCTGCCCGCCTGCCCGCCTGCCCCTCCTGCCGATGACACGGAGTTCAGTGCCTGGGTGTTTGGTGATGGTTATTGATGACAATGTGTAGCGCATGATTGTTTTTATACCGAGAACATTTCTAATAAAAATAAACACATGGTTTTGCACCCCGGCTCTACATCCACTGAGGGTCCTGCGGTGGGACCCCAGGCGAGGCCCGCAGCTGGAGGGCCTGGAGCTGGAAGGAAGGAGGACCTGGGTGATGGAGACGTGGGGCTTGGGATGGGTGGAGGCTCCTGTCCGGGGGCATGGAGAGGCCTTGGGCAGGCAGGGACCAGGACACTGCAGCAGGATCCAGAAGTCAGCCCCTGGTGGTCCCCTAAGGGGGTGCTCTGTTCCTGTGCCCTGCCCTGCAGCCCGGTCTCTCCTCCGGCTCACATCCCTCACACCTGGGACCCCTCACCTCACTCCATAACCTGCGCCCCTTCTCTTTGCCCAGCCAGGAAGTTCTCCTCTTGAGAAGTTGGCCCAGCACCCACAGCCCTCCCCTATTGCCTGTCCCGTCTCCAGGCCACAGGTGCTAAGATGATGTGTGTCTGTCCTGGAGATCGGTGTGGCGCGTGTCCATGTGGTCAGGTGCACGCCACAGGGATGCGTGTGTGGCTCCCCGCAGCCCTGTGCGTGTGCAAGTGTCTGTTTTGGCTGCATGTCTGTGTGTGCTCCTAGCACCTCCATACGCGTGTTTGTCTTGTGTGAGTGTCTGTCTATCTGTTTAGGCCCAAGTGGCAGTGAGTCCACATCACACCCACGTCTGAGGATGCCTGTCTCGGGCCGGCGGCGAGTGTGCATGTGTGTGTGCACGGCAGCTGGCTTCCTTGGCAGGTTGGGAGAGGGAGTGGGGAGCAGCTTAGGGGCTGGGCCCTGCCGGGGGTAAATTATAGAGCTGGCGACATAATGAGGCCACAAGCAGCAGCTGGAGCCCAAGCTGCCTGTACTGCCCCTTCCTGGCTCGCCCCGCCCCCAGGCCCACACGCCCTCCCACCTCCTCGGCCAGCTGACTGGGGTGTGGGGCACGGTGGCCAAGGCCTGGAGGGACCCCAGGTGGGAGCCAGGCAGGGCCTGGGTGTGGGTATGTGTGTAGAGGTGAAGCTGGGGCATTAAATAGTGCCCCGCGTTCATGCCCCCTCCGTGAGCCCATCTCACTCCTCAGGGGAGGCCAGGTCTCACGCACACCTGTGCTCAGGAACCCCTTGTCCCTGGGGGCTCTGTGAGACTGCGGGGGCACCAGCTCTAGGCCCAGTAAGTATCTGTGTACAGGCAGGAGGGGGAGGGGGCGTCTCACCGATCGCTTGCTTTCACAGGATGATCCCTAAGACCGCCTGCCCCCAAGAATGGACTGTACCCAGTGTCCCAGCCGAATCGAATCGGGCAAAACTAGGTTGTCAGACCAAGGGTGTTTGCCAGAAGCTCCCAGGGCGGTGTCAGGGGGGGGGGGGGGGGGGAGGGGGAGCGGGGGGGAGTTGGATGTAGGGCGGAGTGAGGCCAGTCCTCTGATGGTGCCCCCAGCCTGGCACCTTGTCCCCTCTCTGACCTGTTTCCATCTCAAGGCAGTTGCCATACTGAGGCCAAGGCTAGACAGAGGGCCTGCCTGGAACCCAAGGATTTGATGCTCAACCCAGGACTTTCCCAGGTGCCCCCCACATCTGTGGAGCCCCGCTGCTACGTTCCAGGGGGGAGAACCACCTTCCTTCCCAGGGGGGTGCTGTCTCTTCTGCTCCCCTCAGCACTCAGGAGAGGGCAGGGGGGCCATGTCAGCCTTCAAGGCCTCCTGGGAGGAGACAGAGGTGACGGAGGGTCAGAGCCAGGGAGCCTCTTGGTGGGGCTTGGACTCATCAGGCATCCCTGAGGCTTGTCCTGGTCCAGCCCGCTGGGGCTCTGAGAAGGGGCAAGTGGGAGGGGGCGCTCCCAGACAGATGGAGCGGACATAGCCCCACCTTCAGGGACTGTCACACAGCCTTGCCCTCAGGGAGCTTCTAGTGTGATGGGGAAGACACAGCCCTCAAGGAGCCAAACAGCCTAGAAATGCTGATGGTCCCAAGGAAAGGTAATTATGGGAATGGAGTGGGTTAAGTGGGGAAGCCTTGAGTGGGGTCGGAATTCAAGCAGCTGAGTCTGGGGAACAGAGGAGAGGTGTGTGGGCTCCACGGGCCTGAGGTAGAGAGGGAGACCATTCGCCAGCAGGACTTTTGGAGGTCAGGCCTGCTGCAGTGGTGTGGGAGGGTGGGCATCACCTATCATCCAGAAGGCACAAGCCAGTGAAGCCAGGGTGGGATCCCACACGTGGGCCTGGGCAGCACCTGCTCTGATGTGTGCAGTGGGGAAGAGCCGTGGGCCCTTCCTGGGCCAGGTGGCTGCTCACCTTTGCTCTCCATCCCATATTATTAATTCCCGGGGCTCATGTGGGACACCCAGGACAGGTGGACCAATGCTCAGTGTCTTCAGAATTGTGTATTTCAGTAAGATAGGGGGCATTGCAGTGTCCCTGGCTCGCTGGATGGAGAGCTGGCAGCTCTCAGAGACCTTTGCTTTGCAGGAGGGGTGATGGGGTCTCCACAGGCTCTGTGCTCGCCCCTCCTTTGGGGCTCAGCCTCCCAGGGCCCAGAGGTGCTACCAGTGGCGGTTCCCAGGCTGTGCCCTCCTCAAGGGTGGCATGAGAGGACTGGGCTAGTAGGGATCCTAACCCTTCCTGAAGCTTTGGACCGTACATACTCTGGGCCCCTCCCCAGAAGGATGGATCTTAAGCCTGTGAATGGGGCCAGGCGCAAGACGTTTTACAAGGTCCCCAAGGGACGCACTGTGCAGCCCAGGGGGCCAGGTGGATCAGTGGCTTTCAAACCATTCCAGCGGCAGAATCCTTTCTTTAAATCAGCATCAGCATCCCTGGAAACTGTTAGAAAAGCAAATTATGGGCTCCACCCCAGGCCTGCTGAACTGAAGCTCTGGGGGTGAGGTCCCGCTGTCCGCTGTCCGTCTTACAGGCCTTCCAGGTCCCTGGATACAAAGCCAGGTTTGAGAACCACACCTAAAACTGTTGAAAAGCTAAGGTGTGTGACTGACAAGTGTTTGGGGGGGGTTAGGGGAGGGTGGAGTTCAGGCCTCCGGCTACCAGGACCCACCTGGGGGCAGAGTTTCTGGGATGCTGGAATTTCAGTGCTAAAACCAGGGAAGTCCCAGAAAAACTACAGAGATTGCCCCCTCCTCGTCAGATTCCCTTCTGTACTCATGTGTTCAACAGGTGTTAAGTACCTGCTACAGGCCGGGCCGCAGGGATGCCGCGGCGGATGAGACAGGTGTGGTACCAGACCTTGGGGTTTCTGCAGCCAAGAGGGAACAGTGCCCACTCAAGAGCTTTTTGGGGCTCAAAGCCAAGACGGGGCTGCTACCAGCCCTGTGCAGGAGCCCACTGAGCCACTGGGTCGGCTGGGCACACAGAAAACTTTTGTGGAACCCCTGGGACCCTGAGGACACAGCTTCAGAAGCCGTATACAAGCCCGGGCCCCTTCTGGCTCCTATGAGCTGGTGTGAGTTCCAGCCTCCACAGTCTGTTCCTCCCATCCTGCCTTCTCAGGTCTTGGAACAGAGGCGAAGGGGGCCTGTTACACCATGCCCGGTGCCCCGCTCCACCTCTGCCTCCAGGCCCACCGAGGGGTCCCTGGAAGCCCCCAGGAGGTGCTGAGCATCCAGAGGCTGTGTGGCCCCTCTCCAGCCAGAGGACAGGCCATGGACCCTTTCTTTTTGATGGTTTCACTGGGGCCTGCTGCTCCCTCCTCCCGGCCTGGGGTTTCCATCTGCCCATGGAACATCGGGAGGAGACTGAGGTGCTCTCCCTGGCACCTGGAGCTCCTCTCTGCCCTCCTGCCTGCCCTGCACCGCCCCGGCTGTCCCGCAGGGCTTGGCCCTGGCTCTCAGCTTCCCAGGGCTTGGACCTCCCCACAGATACCCTGGCACCGAATGGCACTCAGCGCCAAAATCTTGCTTCAGTTGGCAAAAGCAGCAATTAGCATCTAATGAGGCTTCTTGCTTTATTTTTAGGTAACCTCAAGGCCCTGCCTGTGTAATTCAGCCCGCCATTGCTCGGCAGATAATTAAAGCATGTCACCATAATTTGCCATTTTTTTTTTTTATAAAGCCTGTAATTATGTTTTTATTGCAAGTGAGGGAGGAAAAGAGGAGGGAAAGAAAACAAAGAGAGGTGGAGTTGGGGCAGGAAATGGGGCTTGGCTCCCTTAGCCCGGCTCCTCTCCTCCAGCAGCGGAACCAGGAGGCCCCATTCTGGGTGCAGCTTCCCCTAACCTCAGGCCTGCCTAGATACTCCCTGCCCCAGACCCCTCCTTGTTGGCTTCCCTTGTCTACACTTTGGAGTCCTTCTCCGGTCTGGTTAGGAGGCCTTCCTGTTTTCCCGCCTTTCCTTATAAAACCAGCCCCAGTTTGCTTCAGACTGTTGCAGTAGGCAGGAAGCCGGGGCAGCTGAAACCAGAGTAGCCACCAGTTGATGGTTTTGAGCTGCACACAGCACCTGGGAGTTCTTGATACTATTCTCCTGTTACCTATGTTTGAAAATTTCCATAATAAATAGTTAAATAAAACTCCCCTCCCAGGAAGGTGTCTGCTCCCAGAGCTTGGCACCTGAGGGCTGCTCTCAGGGGCACTTGTGACTTGAGGTTCTTTCTAACTATGGGGTGAAGGGCTGTCTTTATGCACCAGGAGCTGCATTTCAGTCATTCTTTTGGTGTTGGCGAGTAGTGGCGGGCCCTCTTTCCTGGGGCATCTGAAATCAGACTCTCCGAGCCTGCAGGTCATTCTGGGAAGAGGCAGGGCTGTTTCAGGGAGCCCAGTGCCCCAGAACATCTTCCCAACTGCCTCAGCCTTCAGGGCATGTTCTCCCAGAACCCCTCAATCGGCTGGCAGCCGTGTTGGAGTCAGGTACCAGTGGCCCTGAAGGTGTGGACGGGGGGCAGGTAAGTTTGAAAGATCTGATTTTGAAAGACCTTCCGGATTACCTTAACTCCAGTAGCAAGCAGCCCCTCCACCACTTTCTGAACACCGCTCAGCCCAGACATCAGAGTACGCACATGCTGGCTTGTTCATTATCTTCATCCTCCCTCTAGAACGTC